GGAGGTTACATTTCATTAAAGTCAAGGGTAATTAGTTTGTGGAAAATCTCCTAGAGTATGTTAGAAGTAAATTTTCCATTTGCTTATATCTTTGGATCCAAATTACTGTACACTTCTGAAAATAGCTATTAAACTCACCAAAATAAGGCTATAGAGATGTGCTTTAAATGTAACTGGACTGCAGTTTAGGCCTAAAAAAACAAAGGTTGTTTAACCATGGAAAGCATATTAATAGTGGATCCAATACTACACATATATTTGAGGGGAAAAAAATTTTTTTAAATTAGTTATATTTGTCAGTATTTTGGAAGAGAATAGAAACTGAAAGGAAACATGAAAAGGCTTCTGAGGGTTTTGATCTAGGGTGCTAGTTACACAATGCAATGTGTTTAAATGATTTGACCTACACTGTGATTTACTTGCAAGTATTTATATTATATTTCAGTAAACAGCTTTAAAGGCAAATTTAAAAATCTCCCAAATAGGGCCAAGCACAGTGGTTCATGCCTATAATCCCAGCACTTTGGGAGGCCAAGACCAGTGGATCGCCTCAGGTCAGGAGTTTGAGATCAGCCTGAACAACATGGTGAAACCCCATGTCTATTAAAAATACAAAATATTAGCCAGGCATGGTGGTGGATGCCTGTAATCTCAGATACTTAAGAGGCTGAAGCAGGAGAATTACTTGAACCTGGCAGGTGGAGGTTGCAGTGAGCCAAGATCGTGCCACTGCACTCCAACTCCAGGCTGGGTGATAGAACAAGACTCTGTCTCCAAAATAAACAAACAAATAAATAAATACAATGAGTTACGCATTTAATGTCAAAATTTTTAAAAGACTAAAGATGCAAAACTAACACATTGAGAATCTAGAATATTGGTTTTGAAAAAGGGAATCCGAGAGGAATGTGCAAGAACAAATTACAAAGTCTGGTTCACGTTTGGGGGCAGGTGGAGATTTGGATTTAATTAAGGTTAGTATCACTTTATTTTCTTACTCAAATCTTCACATAATTCACAAATCAGATACAATTTGTATTCACAAGGACATGTGAGTATATTTTCTATCCTTCAAACAGAACCACAAGCAGAGAGGGATCTGCTAGAGAAAATAAACCAAATAGACTGCTCTTGTATTTTACGTAGTAGTAGGGGTCAGAAGTTGGCAGGCAATGTAAGTACAAAGGCAACAATTTCATCCTTTCACATTCTGTTTTTTGTTGTATTATTGGGACTACTTTTGGTTACCTTAGGTTAGGCATGGCCATGTCCTACCATCACTTTTTTCCTACATTGTGAGGCATCCTGAAAACTGTTCACTCTGCTGGCTATGACTCCACTAATTTTACCATTGTCCTTCCCAATACTCTATGTCATGAGGCATTAGCCCCACCTAATATTGACACTAACCCCAGAACACTTACATGCTCTATAGAATGTAGAATGGCTTAATAGTTGGGGGTAGCCTTCATGTTCAGCTATTGTCAGGCATATGTGCTCTGGTATGGAGTTTGCTACCGTATCTGGGCTCAAGACATAGATTAAAGTATGCCTGAGAAGTGACCTAGGTACCTTCCCTCTTTTTTACTTCCATATGGACTTACTGCATTTGAACAGGGTGAAATCTCCCTTCCAAAATTCGGTACTCTGCTTGTGACTAATTAAGTAGGTAACAGGATTATAAATCAATGACAAATGGCAGGCACAGAAGACCCAGGCGAAAGTAACCAAGCTTCTCAGGTGTAGCGTGGTTTGTGGTTATCCCCACTCAGGTGTCCTAAATTAGAGTACACATGGAGAGCCATGGTTTCCTAACCTGTACAAGCCAGAAGCCATCTGTTAGGCAGAAGCTGAGGCAGGGTGCTGCAAGAGTGTTGACAAAAGAGTGAATGCTGGAGCAAGGAGGGACCGCACCCGGGGAGATCTACTAGGAGAAGCCAGCCCACCTCCAGAGTTCCTAATTCTCAACCTCTCCAGAGTCCAAAGCGTCAAACCCTCCCTTGAGTTTGAATTCTAAACTTTCTCTAAATTGTGTGTTGTGCTCAAGAGAAGATCCTAGAGATCTGGCTGGACTTTTTCCAGAGGCCTGCAGCTAGAGGCCTGGCAGAATGCTCACTTATTCCTTAAAACAAGAGAAGATTGTGCCTCATATTTGTTTTGATCTTTCTTCTTTCTCACTTAAGCCAGTAGGCTATTTTCTCAATTCTTCCACAGCTATTTCAAAGTCTATAGATTACATTTATAAAACAAAAATACTGGTCATGGCTTTTTGTGTATGTGTGTACATGCACATGGGTTAGTAGAGATATAAAAAGTAAATGCAAGTGATCTTTTACTAGAAACTAGATCAACAAAATGTGTAGGAACTATGCTATGTAATAATGAGTAACATTTGGAAGAGTCATTATGAACAGTGCATGACGTCATGAAAACTATTCACCCTGATGCCTCACTTTTTCTCCAAGAGGATGGCAAAGGGCACTCCTCAATTTTATAGGGCAGCATTAAAATAGAAAAGTGCCTCTTCTGAATTTAAAGTGTCTTTTTTAACAAGGAAGACTGCCATGTCTCCTGACCTACATAAGTATTTGTTTACATGGATACAAATATGTACAATAAGTTCTATGTAAAAATTACTTGGACAGCTGGACTGTGTCTCCACATCTGGCTGTTCAGCCTATTTCAGTCACCTTACACGAACTCCCATAACCTCTACTTTGTCATCTACCTAAAGCTTAACTGGTTCACAAAGAAGAAACCTGAAAAAAGTTATGTCTGAACTTATTAGTGTGGAACATGAGATGTGTATTAGTGGACTATGAGCTAGAGAAGTGTAATGACTTTATTGTCACATTTACCAACTTACCCCTGGAGTACATTATTGATGAGGTACACACACGCGCACACACACACACACACACACACTCCTTAAAGATAATGCAGATTCATTTCCAGGCCACCGCAATAAATTAAATATTATAATAAAGGGAGTCACACAAAATTTTTGGTCTTCCAGTGTATACAAAAGTTATGTTTATATTTTACTGTGGTTTATTGTGTGCAATATCAGCATGTTTAAACACAATCTACATAATTTAATTTATAATACTGCTAAAAAATGCTAGGGACATGGATGAATCTGGAAAACATCATCCTCAGCAAACTGACACAAGAACAAAAAATGAAACACCGCATATTCTCACTCATAGGTGGGTGATGAAAAATGAGAACACATGGACACAGAAAGGGGAGTACTAAACACTGGGGTCTATTGGGGGGAAAAGGGGAGGGCCAGTGGGAGGGGGAGGTGGGGAGGGATAGCCTGGGGAGAAATGCCAAATGTGGGTGAAGGGGAGAAGAAAAGCAAAGCACACTGCCATGTGTGTACCTACGCAACTGTCTTGCATGCTCTGCTCATGTACCCCAAAACCTATAATCCAATAAAAAATTAAAAAAAAAAAAAATGCTAGTGCTCAGAAACAAATGACCTGTTAGACATCAGAGAGAAATGACCAAGGAAACGATGAGTGAGGCACAAGGCATTCACTCTTTACTCTTACTGGGAGCCTGGTTCCGGCTCTGGACTCAACAGAACATGGGCAAGAGCGCATGCGTCTGAGCCAGTGAGTTGGGTCTTGGTTGGGGTGTAAGCCCCAGAGGGTGGAGGGTAGGAGGAGAGAGAGGAGCGGAAAAAGTAACTATCGGGTATTAGTTTCGGTACCTCGGTAATGAAATAATCTATACAACATGTGCTTATATAAGAAACCCACACACATACTCCTGAAACTAAAAGTTTTAAAAAATAGTGAGTGTTGGCCAAAGTCAAACCAGAATAATCCGCGTGTAGGGTCATGGTTAGCTTATAGGTTAAATACTCGGTGGCCTTTAGGTTCTGATTAAACTCAATGTGTTGCCAAATTTCCTTCCCAAACCATATAATCTTTTGCATCTGCCCATTTGTGACTGCAGAAGCACGATGCCAGTTTTCACTGCTAGCTTGTGGTTTTTGTTTTGAACTCCAAAAACCTTAACTTATTAATTGAAGCTTTCTGTTTTATTACATGGACTTAGAGGTCAAGATAAGTACAGCTTATTGACACGCATAAAGAGACCCTTGTTTCTCTGCGGAGCAATGGAGTTGAGCCGTCCTCTTTGTTCTTAATGAATTATCTTTTATATTTATCTGGGAAGTGGATGATTTTTATATTTATTATTAAAAGTTTTATACAGAGTTATTTATACTGCCTCTATTTATCCCATTGAGAAATTAGTTCATATTGTACCAGTAACTGAAAGATAATTCATCACTCTAAAAATTAACTTTTACCCACTGAGCAATTATGGGCTAGGACTGTGATGAATTCCCACTGAGCAATTACAGGCTAGGACTGTGATGAATTTTAATAAGCTTGGTACATAATTGCTCAATATATGATATGTGATAAGCTTAATTTCATTAGTGTTCCTCATAAATCATCACAATGTGATTTTCAGGGGGAAGTCACATGGCTTGGAGCTCTGGCCTGCTGAACCTTGTGTTCATGGTCAACAGCTCTATGGTGATGTGGGGTCTTGTGAGGCTTCCTGACAGGTGAGAGGCATCTCGAGGGACTCTGTTTCAACAGGGAGGTCATCACAGCTTCCTGATTCATGACATAACTTAAAACACCTTTGTTTTCAACAGTTGTATTCACTGTTTCTTTCTGTTTCTCCTCACACATTCTTGGGTTCCTGCACCTCCCCCTCATGGCTGTATCTCTCCCCTCCTCTCACCCATGACACTCCAGCGCCGATGGAGCTGAGGATGTAGCTGCCTGGTGGTGATGCTGAGTTTCACTTAGGAGCTGCTCTAGTGCTGCCTTGGCCATAGAAACCTCTTTGGTGACTTGACCTCCTTAAACTGTTATTTCACTTCAGCTCATCCATGTAGGCTGGGAGAAAATTGGGCCATTGATGGGATGCATAATGCAATTCTTCCTCATGTCTCCTAACACAAGCAGCAACTGTGATCTTCAAAAACACTCTTGCCCTGAGCTCTGAAATCCTCCAGCATGAAAAAGAGGAAAGATGAACAGAGGATGAACTGCTAGAGCTGAAGGAACTCCACTCCGGGCCTTCCAGGTAGGACCCCTTACCTGGAGGAGGATGTTCCTTGTTAGAGACCACTGAGAACAAAGGACTTGCACTAAACCTGCTGATTTCTTCCATTTCCCTCTGATTTTAAAAGAAATTAATATATGTTTGGGTGCCTACTGTACTTAAAGAATAAGTTGGTCCTACTCTTTTGTCCTATACAGTTTCAAGGGCCAGGAGGGTCCCTAGGACTCTCTGTTTGCAGTCCCCACGGAGGCCACAAAGGGCGCCATGGTGCTTTCCCTTGGAACTCTGTAATGTCGCAAGATGCCTGGTGGTTTCAGTTCCGGGAAGATTGTGGCAGATGTTAGCCCTGCATATCCAGAGGTTCCTGACTTTTGGTCACACCATCCCAGGGGTCAGCCTAAGGCCTGCACTGCCCAGGCTGCGAGAGTTGGCTGTGGAGGCTCCGAGCCTCAGGCGAAGCAATCTTACTTGCTTTCCTCAAAAACATCCTGGCCAGAGAAAGGTACTTTCGCATTTCTGCTGCTGCTGGAAAATATTCCCTCGTGTTTCTCTCAGACTGGGCAAAGCTTCCAGTGCTCCAGAGCCTGTGGCTGTGTGCTTTAGAGGGATGAAGCTGGGGGAGTGGAGGAGAAGCAGTAACCAGATAGGACAAGATGGAGCAGGATGACAAGAAGGGGGAGGAGGAGATGGATGAGCAAAGGGCTAAGGAGGCACATGTGGAAGAACAGGGAGGAGGAGGTGGGGGATGAGCTGACCATCAAGGTGGTTCTTTTGTCACCCTCAGAATGGCAGACCCTTTCTCTGGAATGCCCCCGACCCTACTCTGTGCCCTGGTCAAGCACCCCCAGCCTCCTTTCTTTCTACAGCTTCTCATCCCTTCCTCCCTTTTCCCTTCCCTTGATTATGGGGACTTTCACATTCCCGTTTTATTATTTTTTGAGGGGGTTGGGCTCTCACTCTTTCTCCCAGGCTGGCATGCAATGATGTGATTATAGCTCACTGCAGCCTCGAACTTCAGGTCTCAAACAATCTTCCCACCTCAGCCTCCTGAGTAGCTGGGACTGTGGTGTGTGCCACTATACCCAGCCCAATTTTTTCCTAACCTCAAAAAGGCTTAGATCAGTGAAACAGAGGGACTGGAATTCCATTCCTTGTGTGTAACGCAGGGACATGGGTGCTCCCATGCCCCTGGACATCTTACATGCATGACCACAGCAGTGCGTAAGCCACAAACGGGAAACAGCCCAGATGCCCATCGTCAAGTATATGCATAAACAGATTATGGTATATTTCATTGGCAATGAAAGTGGATGAATTAGTGATGACTGTTAAATCCATAACATTTAGTGAAAAAAAAAAAAAGCCAAGCATAAGAAAATATATATGTATGATTACAGGTTAAAACCTAGATCCATTATGGGGGCATGAGAAGCAGAAAATTATAAAGAACCAAACATCATGAAAATCAGGTAGTGGTAGTTGTGAAGGGTAGGAGGGGTCTGTGGTGAGGAAGGGGCATGTGGGAAGGTTCTGGAAGCTGGTATTTAGTGCTAGCTAGTGCTCACATGTTAACAGATGGATGCATTTATACCTATGTTTTATTCAACTTCTCCATATTGTATTACACAATTGAAAAAAAATTAGTTTTTGTCAGTACATATCCCAAGAACTAATATGAGCAGAGTTTTTAACAGGAGCGATACTGTGCAGGGTGTGCGTTTCCGTTATTTCAGTGAGCACGGCATACTGAGCTTGAATACTATTATGTCTTTATGACACACAGGGAAATGATCGGAGGTAACCCCTGGTCCCAACCAGGCCAGTGATGTCACCAGGACTAGGGGAGGCCTCTCTGCAAAGATGGTGCTGGCAACCACAGGCCATACCTAATGTCTCAGAGCAAGAGAAGTGCTTTGGAGGAGCCCGGACTTTGCATTCTAGAGCCTTGGACTTGAATGAAGCAGGTACAAGTCCCCTAAAAGTAATTGGTGAGGGAAATTCAAGAAGAGAAATACATATCATGTTCATTGACTAAAAGACTCAATTTGGTTAGCATATTACAGCAACACAATCTGATTAATATTTCTAGTAGGAGATTTTAGAGAAATTTAAAAGCTTGTTTCAAAATGTATTTGAAAATCGAAGAACCTAGAATAGGCAAGTTGGTCTTGAAGAAGTAATAGGTTGGAGGTCTTGCTCTGCTAGATTTCAAACCTCATTTTAAAGCTACAGTAATTTCAGAACAATAGGACCGGTGTGAGTATTCATAAATATATCGAAGTCAAAGAATACAGATTCAAATGATATGCGGTTATTTAACTTTTTTTAGTAGAATCTTTTTTACTCAGGAAAAAATACTCAAATCTGCAAAACAAAAAAGTTTTCCAACCACACACAGGAGGGGTATGGGTAGGGGGAGGTGTCTGTCCATCTAGCCTGTCCCGCAGCCCATGCAGAGGTCAGCACTGGGAACGCTGAAGGTGGGAGGCCATTTCATGATATTTCTCATTGGTGAAATTGCCGAGGACACCTTCTTTGTCCACCAGCAGGCCTAGTGTCTTAGCAGTCATGGCGACAGTGACATTGGAAGTGGAGGCTCCACCGATGCTCTTGGTAAGAAGGTCCCAGGGCAAGTCCTGCAGCAGTGAGTCCAGACCACAGAACATTTCTGCCCCCGTAGTGTCGGCCCATTCACAAAAAACCTTGACCAGTCAGAGTCTTGCTCTGTCACCCAGGCTGGAGTTCAGTGGCTCTGCGGTGTGGGTTGCTTTTTTATCTGGAATGTGTCTGACATCCTGAGACCTGGACTCATTTCAGGGAGCTTTGAGAGGAGCCCCAATTACTGACGGAATTGGATGGTGTGTGGAGACGCTTCAGCAGCACGAGGGTAAGTGGAGGAGCAAGACCAGGTCACAGTGAGAGACAATGAGCATCATCAACCACCCCGACCATCACCATGATCTTGCCAGGTTCTGCTGGGGGAAGGCAACAACACATCAATGGTGTTATAGCAAGTGTGTGTGTGTGTGTGTGTGTGTGTGTGTGCGTTTTATCTCCAATAATATTCCATAAGAACTGTTCATGGTTCTGTTCCTTTTCCTTTCAATACATGGGAAAACTAAATGAAAACAACAAAATAGCATCAGGTTTACAAGACTTCCCAAAGTATATGGTCACACACGTTTTCAGGGAATATACACAAATGATTTTGATCACTTGATACCTTGAAAAGAGCTCTTGTGAGACAGAATGATATTGATATGTGACAAGTATGAAAAAAGTGTCAGTGACATCAAAGAAACAAATAAACCCACAGATAGAGGAGGAGCTTTGCACTTAGGGATGTGAACTGGTCATAAGTGTAATGAAAAGCCAAGATGCTGCCTCAGTGAGAGAAAAGAAATCAACATAACAATGGGATGCAGCGAGGAGAACACTGAGTCAGGGGAGAAAATATTTTTAAAGATAAATTATTCATTAACTTTTCAGTAGGTACAGAAACAAAAAATGCAGAACACAGAAGCTATCATGGCAGTCTAAAAGTCTGACATCTTTCATGTGTGGAAAAGCCTTAAGATCTGTTTTAACTTAGAGAAGGTGCGGTGACTTCCTGAAGACCGCTAAGAAAATATAACCTTCTGGGAAACTGTCTCCATGATTTTATACACACAAGAGATGGACAGAGGAATGCGCTTAGACATATTAAGAAAGAGGTGAGTCTGCAGCACTGCCACAAGGGTAAGCAAATACTGAGAGGGACTGCTGAGGAAATAATCCCCATCTGTGACTCTCAGGTGAGATCAGGGGGCCTTGGTTTCAGCACAGCCTGGGCAATTGGAATGCATGGCTCCTAAGATTTCATGACACACCCACCTTCTAATTCTGTTATTGTGACTGCAGATGGTTACCCGGGACACCGGCTGCTAACCTCCCTCACTCTTGTAGAGTCTGAGCTACAGGCAGTGCCTTTGGCTCTGAGCTCTGGTATTCTAAACTTTGTTTTAGCGATTAAGTACTCTGTGGTATTGGTGGAATTCTTCTTAACCGTAAGTCAACCATTCCAGCTGTTGTCATCCCTCAGTGCTGACTAACCCTATTTGATTTCACTTGTTTTTGACCCATCATGTGTTTTGGTTTCTTCTCCCTAGTCCCTGTTATACCTCTTCTGCCACCAACATCAGCATGTGGTATCTGCTGGACATTTATCCAGGGAGAGGGCAGAAATGAACATCCTATAAATCAACCAGGAATTGTGTTATAAGGGTTTTTCTCTTGTGAGGTTTATTGCCGAGTTTAAAATGAGGAAACTGAAGCCTGCATGAGAACAATTAGACACCAATTTATTCGGCTCTTGGGTGAGGTTCTGTGGTCCTGGGAAAGAGGCCAGAGAAGTTATGCCCGACCTCTCTTAGGCGTGGGGTTTTACAGGGAGGGAAGGCGTTCTGATTGCCTGTGGACAAACAGGACATGGACGTAGCAAGCTGCTATTGGTAGGCAGGCAGGATTTCTGGTGAGCAGGCTAGGTGCCGAGTGCAGAGCTTAGTGCTGAGTTCAGAGGGGATTTCCAAGGCAGAGCTAGATAATGGGCGTATTCTGGTGATGTAATTTTCAGGCAGGGAGAGGGATGGGCGTGTCCGAGCTCCCAACAAGTCAAATGGCCTTACAGTGCTCCCAGCTGGCACAGAGCCAACAGCAGTTCCAAGACCTCAAAGAGAAATTTCTTGTAAGTCAAGCTACTGTCTACTCTCTGGCCAAGCAACTGAAGAGATACAGTAAGTTCTATAGATTCATCATCACAAAAGTGATGACTAAGCACCTGCTTCTCTCTGAGATACTGAATGGTCCCTTCATCTAAATTAATTTCATCCTTTCCTTAGTTCTAGGAAAATAGAAATGGGTATTTTAACTTCATTGTGTTAAGGATGGAAAATGGAGGCACGATGTGTTTAGCAACCCCTCCACGTTAGCAGTCTGGTGTGAGGTGGGGCTAGAGTTGAAATGCTACTTACTGACTCTCACACAGACACAGAGGCACTTACTTTCCTCAGCAAGAGGCTATATCACATTTAAGAGAATCCTCTCTATGCCCTGTAAGATCCTGCAGACAAATAACTTGTAGTCTGTTGGTAAATGTCTGGGACCAAAGAACTGCCATTCAGTTTTAGCTTCTTTGAGACCCAGTAGGCAAATCTCTGTTCTGGGGACCCTGGGGGAAACCTGGTGACAGTACAGAGTACCCTCTCTAAAGAGCTTAAAGAGGAGACTGCTCCTAACGGTAAGTGTGGCATCTATACGTGAGGGCATCAAGAGCAGGAAGTACCCTGGTGAGAGGGAAGTCCTGCTTCCTGGGGCACAGACTCTTATTCTAAAGAGGAAGAAAGACAGCACATTAGACATTGTGGAGGTCACAGTGTAGTGTGTGGAGTAATGGAAATATCATAGAAATAAAGTACACAAAATATGTAATGTGCATGAATCATTCGAAAACCATCCCCCCTACCCTGGACACAGAAAAATTGTCTTCCATGAAACTGGATGCTGGTGCCTAAAAGGTTGGGGACTGCGGCTCTACCTGCTGGGAGGTGACCTCCCTCCACTGACGCAGTCCAGCATGCCTTCCTTTACTCAGGCCCAGGCTTGCATGCTCTGCAGAGCTCCAGTGGCTTTTTCCATGTGTGGGCTTGTTGTTTGAATCGTGATTTGGTCTCAGTGCTATATTCTCATGAAAACCATTGAGAATGAGTGTCCCTCACGGGGTACTGGACTAACTGATGAGCAAAGCAGAGTGGTTTCTATCCTCGTGATGTCCAGAAAACCCTTCCGCTGAGCAATTGCCCTTTGGTGTGGAAGCTTCACAGGCTATGTAGAGAAAAATTCCGATTTTCATTTCTTCTTGCTCATTGTATTTTTTTGAACTTCCATCCTGGGAGTTTCATGTGGATTGGTGGGAGTTTCAACCATCAATCTATTTTCTAGTAGGAGCAGGTAACTCTGTGATGTAACTTAGGATATCTGATAATGTTGTAATAAAATTAGCAAGAGTGCCAGGTGTGGTGGCTCATGCCTGCAATTCCAGCACTTTGGGAGGCTGAGGCAGGTAGATTGCTTGAGCTGAGTAGTTTGAGACCAGTGTGGGCAACACTACAAAAACATGTCTTGATGAAAAATTAGCAAGGCATGGTGACACACACCTGTACTTCCAGCTTTATGGGAGGCTGTGGTGGAAAAATCACCTGAGCCTGGGAAATTGAGGCTGCAGTGCATAATCATTGTACCACTGCACTCCAGCCTGAGCAACAAGGTGAGACCTGTGTCAAACACATACACTCTCACACACACACAAACACAGACACAAACACATCCACACACACACACACACACACACACACACACAAAGAAACTAGCAATGAAAATGTTGGTCTCTATTCTGTTTCAGTCAGTGAGTGCCTTTCCTACCTGGACCATCCCTTTCCACTTTTGCATTTCTCCCTGAGTTTGAGAAAGCAAATAGTTTTCTGTGATGACAGTGATTCATTAAACAAACAAAATACTCTTTGATCTTGCATATGCATATGCCCTGCCCCTTGCCAAACAAGCTCTATCCTGCTATAAACATTCAGAGCTGAAGGAATGCGCCCAAGGGGGCAGTGGCATCTCCATGTTAGACCTGAGGATGCTGAGGCTATAAAACTTTCCTTCACTTGCCCAGGATGGCTCGACTAGTCATGGTGAGAGCATGGTCCTTTTGTCTGCCTGACTTCATGGCCCAGTCTCTGTCATTTCTCTGTGGGGGTTCTGTCAGGGACTAAGCCACGATGCGTGCACATCCTCTTTCCTTTGTAGAAATTATTTTCCAATAAAGTCAAGCTGAAACAGAATAAGTTGCTGGTCTAGGGTAAAGAAGTCTTGTAGTCCCTGGCACAGATTTCTCAAGAAGGATTACCTCTGTGCACTCTGTCCATCAGCAGAATCAGTGGCTCCTTCAGTCCCTCCAGGGGGACCTACAGCTCCAGCAGGCTCTCCCTTGGAAAAGCACTCAGGGAATAAATGATCCTAGTCTCTCCCCACCTCCCCATCCCCAGGGTTTCAACTCTCAACTTGGCCATGTTTAGGTCCCTGTAAAGCTGTGGAGCTGCATCTCAGGAACACACCAGCCAGAATGGGTCTCCTACAAAAAGAAAGAGACACTGCTCTGAAACATGTCTCAGAACTGAGATGCCTGTGATGTGGCCAGCCCTGCCATCAGGAACATGGGCCAGGAGAAAGCACATTCATCCATGCAGATGGGCCAAGATGAATGAATGCACCCTTCAGATTACACAAGAATGCTTCCTGTGTGTGGCTTCTCGACAATAATGTGTGAATAGTGTGCACAGTGCACAGCCCTGACCCCAGCAATGGTGTCAGTGTGTATCTGCTCTGCCCAAGCTTTCCCTGCAGAGAAGGGCTTGATTTGAAAACAAAGGGCAATTTTCACATGGAAAGTGTTCACATCTGTCTCTTTTATGAAAATCCATTTAGTTGGTCATCTCCACTCATGCCCTCGGCCATGTCCTCGGTTTCCTTCTCACAGGAATCCACTTCCGCTCAGATTTCCTTAATGCCCTGGATCCTGTTCATTCTCATGCTTTGTACCAGGCAATATCTCCTCCTGGAGCCCTCAGCTGAGGAATACAGAGACCCCTGTCCTCAGGAGGAGGGAGGGTCACATGAGATAATGAGCCCCATTTGGATCTGTGGAAAGGACACCTGAAAGGCGCTCAGCGGGTGTCAGGAATGTGCCGTCCTTTACATGTACCATGTAACTAACTTAAACTGATTTTTTCCCACCACATTCTCCTTTGTTTCACTATGGATTCTTACACCGTCAGCCAAGCCCGAACTCACTGGCTCAGACGTATGCTGTTTTGCCCACATTCCCTGGAGTCCAGAGCCAGAACAAGGCTCCCAGTAAGAGCAAAGAGTGAATGCCTGGTGCCTCATTCACGGTTTCCTTGGTCATTTCTCCCTGCTGTCTAACAGGTCATTTGTTTCTCTGCACACCTCTTCTTTCTCATTCTTCTCATGTTTCTATTATTTTTTCAATTTCAATAGGAGAGAATACTAATTATATTGTTACATTAACTATCTCTCAAATCTCTATTATTTTTCATTAGATTAATATCTACAGATATATGCATTTACACCATTTGCTATGTATATTATGTACATTTTGTGTGTATGCTACGTAGTGTGTATATATATGTGCAATAGATCATATAATGATGTACGTTTTGTAAATTCTTCAGGTTTAGTCTTCCCCGGTTCTTTTCTCATCAGCTGCTGTAAGGTCTGTCTGGTCTCACCTCTGTGTCCCATGGGCTGCCACCCTGCCATGCCCTTCCACCCACCTGTCCTGTTTGGACTCAGCTCTGATTTAACTTTCACTCTTATAATCTCTTCCCTCCCCAAAGCACAGCCTACATGCAGTGTGATTCCCTTGCTTTGGCCATATCTACCCTGAAGCTATTTGTGTTTCTTAATCTTTAGTTTCCTGAATATTTTTGTAAATCAGGAGTGCCCTTGCCTCCTGGCACACTTGTCATTACTGAGTAATGTAAGAAAGATCAACAAAAAAATATATTAAAGTTACTCTGTTGGGTTCCCCTCCCCCTTTGGACTTTCTTGTCCAAGGCCCATTCGTGATTTGATGTCCTTTGGGTGGAAGAGGAAATCACAGTAAGATCGTGGATGCCATTGGCTGTGTTTTATTTTCAGAGCTGGTTTTAGCCCCCTCCATTGCGATGAAGAACCCTCCACAGATGGAAGATGATCTACCCGAAGGCTCATCAAACACCCAATGGCATCAAGTGCCTGGGAACATTGATGCCTCCAGTGTTGCAAAACCCAAGAAGATCAAACGAAAGCTCCCTTTCAGCAAATGGTTCTGCTGGACTTCACGCTCCGGGTGCAGAGGTAATCACTTCTATGGCTCTGAGCTGCACTCACTTCTTATTTCTGTCTATGGTGACAGCCCATTCTCCCACTGCTTTTTCTTTTCCATTTGTTCTTCCCAGGGGCTGCTGTAACCTCTGTCTGGTCTTACCCCAGTGTCCCACGGGCTCCCACGCTGCCAGGCTCTTTCTGGCCTCATCTCCTCATTGCTCTCTGAACTCTGCTCTATTCCTTCTTCTGCTGGCTTGACGGTCTCTCTCATGACCACGGGAATGCCGGGCCTCATTGTCCTCATTAAGGTACACAGTTTAAGCTGAAGAACACAGGGTTCCTTGCCTGGAATTGCCCACTCTCTTCAGAAATTTACCTTTCCTCCGATTATCCCCAACTCCATTGTTGCTTTCTGCAGGGAGCATGGCTTTAATACATCATTTACACATAGGTTTTTCTCTTAAGTTGGCTTTGGAGGAACCCAGCTAAGTTCACCCTTACTCCTCGGTTCCTCTGAATGAGAAGTGTTAAAGCTGAGCACAGAGAGCCCCACTTAGAAAACTGAACTTGAATCTGGGTCACAAGTGGGAGTTCTCTACCGGACTGGGGCCAGGTTTGCCTTCAGCCCCAGATGTGCAGACTTGTGACAATGTAGATGGAATTGCCAGGGACTCAGTATTCTCACCTAATGGACTCATTTGTGCTGACATTAACTGAATGACATTTATGACATGCAAAATACATGCAGAGGACAGGACTTCAAATCTGCATACATCATGAGATATATCATTCTAACCTCTCCCCATTTTATTCTCATTTCCATTTCTACATGTCCAGTTAAGGGTCTATAATGCAACTCAGGTGAATCTTGAGGCCAGGGTATATGAGAGAGCATTTTCTGAATTAACTTTGAGAAAAGTGACTCCAGGACCTCCTTTATGCTGCACAAGATGACAGACAAGCATCTGTCTACAGGACAATCTTTGCTTCGGTTCAGCCCAATTGATAAGAGAGAGATTTCACTGAAGTTGTCAGAGAGAACACTGAAATCCATGAAACCACAGGAAACAAAGCCAATCATGAGATAAACAGGGAAAGGAAAGAAAATGATGGGTAATTGGGTTGTTCCATTTTGTATCTTTAAATCCCACTGCCATGTAGTAAACAGCTGGTGAGATTTCAGTTTAGATGCATGCCTTGAACTCACACCTTGAGATTCTCACTGACATCATCTGGGGAGTGGTTTGGGTGTCTGTAGTTTCAAAATGCTCCCATGTGATTCTGATATGTGGCTGAAGATGAGGAAGACAACTGGTCTTCTATGACCTCAGGTTGCCAACATGGAAGTGTTTTATATGTGTGGCTACTCCAAAGAAAAGGCTGAGCATTCATCAGCATTTGATGTTATCTGTATTCCCCTCTCAATAGTACTGTTCATATAGCAGAGAAAAAAAATCAGACAGGAAACCAACATAATCAAGAGATAAGACCTTTAGCCTCTGCTCCCAATGGTGAGTGTGGCATCTATACGTGAAGGCATCAAGAGCAGGAAGTACCCTTGTGAGAGGATTGTTCTGCATCCTGGGTCACAGGCTTTTATTCTAAAGAGGAAGAATGACGGCCCATTAGACATTGTGGAGGTCACAGTGTAGCGTGTAGAGTAGGAATCCTGGGCTGGAATCCTGGGCTCCATCTAAGTAGCCGAGCTTTTTGGTGCCTCAGTTTTCTCATCTGTTCTTTGGGTACTATAATAATACCTACCTCTGTAAATTGCTGCAATGAATTACATGACCTGTTTCTTTTAAATCTCCTAGAACAATACTTGGCACAGAGTAAACACTATTATTTCTTTATTCTACTATGTCTAACTTAATTCAAAATTTATTAGTATTTGGCCACATTTCTTTTATGATTTCAGGGTCCAATGCCTCATATTTTATGCAATTATATTCAGATATGATTTTTCAAAATTTTAACAAATTTGTGCTTGAAATTCCCAGTTCCAGGGAATCCATGAGTCCCACAGTCCTAAGGCCATTTCCTACTGTCCAGAATATCAGTACTTCATGCCCCCATAGAGTGTTTTACAGGAGAGGCTGCAAGGCTTGGGAACATGGCCCAAAACTAAGAGTCAGACCTTGGGTGCTGTGAATTCTGACTCTGTCTCATTCCAGGTGTTACTTGATGTGCGACTGAGTTTCTTTTTCCCCATTTCTAAGTTGGAGAGTATCAGATGCCAGTGAGTCGGGAGGTTTATAACTAAAAATGAGGAAATCCCTCACTGGAGCCTGATAGTGGAGATGCCTTTGTCCTTGGGATAAATGCTGCCACCTGCCATGTAGGCAGTGACCACAACAGCCTGTCCAGCCTTCCACTGAGGCAGGCATGACTTTCTTTTCTCAGACTGTGATGCATACCACCTCAACATCCAGTCTCTGGAGAGAGAAATATACAAAATTGGAGAGCAGACCATTTATGAAGAGTTCAAAATCATTGAGGAGCTCAGGTGAGCAGACGCTGTGGGGACAGGTGGGGGGCAAAGGTGTGGATCTCTGAAGTGCAGCACTTCAGCTAGGAGAACCAGCAGCTAAGCTGGGCCAGGACCAGGACAGCCATTTACGTGGCAGGCACATTTCACAGCAGCACTCATAAAACAGAACAGTTATCTTAGCACGTTACCGGCTGCAGTTGTTTCCTTGAGCTTTGTTCACACTTTTTATGACAACAAAATGTTGAGTCAAAATTTGCATATCCAAAATTAATTAAAACAAAGTGAACCACCCAGCAGCGTTTAGTACACTCTATCCCATGTACTCTTAAAGTCACCTCCTGGCTGACCACTGAAACTCATTCATTCAATACATACTGCCTTCTTTACCTGTCATTTTTTTCTTCTTTCATCTTTACAATTCACCCCATCTGCACCAGGCCACACTTCTGTGCATGGCTCTGTTTCCAGTCACTGCCTGATGTACTATGGGAGTTTTCACATAGAAATGTCCACGGCTAAAGTAAGAAGCTGAAAGGACATCCTTTTGAAACCGATTTGGGAAGACTGACTTTTGTTTACAGAAGACAAAAATGAATGGAACATCATACAGGATCTCACAGGAGCTCCCTCTGATACAGAGGAAGCCTCCATGGTTCAAGCAATTCTCCTGTCTCAGCCTCCCGAGTAGCTGGGACTACAGGTGTGCACCACCATGCCTGGCTAATTTTTGTATTTTTTGTAGGGACAGGGTTTCACCATGTTGGCCATGCTGGGTTTAAACACCTGATCTCAGGTTCTGCCCACCTCAGAATCTCAAAGTGCTCAGATCACCGGTATGAGCTACCATGCCCTGCTTTAAAAAATAAATGCATATTTATTTATTATTATATTGTATATACATAATATGGCAGCCATGCTCTGTTGCAGAGAGAGGAGGATTGCCTGTTCCCTCTTAAACAGAACCTCCCCTTTGCTTTCTGGGACCACTACCTTATGCCTCCTGTGAAAACCAGTTGGAAATTCCTGGGGTTCAATCCCTTGTGGTTTAATCTTTGTCATCTCAAAATATATAGATATAAATGTAGATATGCTATAGACACACACACACACACACACACACACACACAAACAAACAAACACATTCCTCTGGACCACAGGCATTTCCTAAAACATGTTGTGATGTTCTGCTTGGGGGGCTCCTTGAGGACATTCTCACCTAAACCTCCGTCGCAGTATTAGAACTGGTCACTCATCCCTTTACATTATTAAACCTCTCTGCTGTCTCATTATAGGAAATATAAAGCCCTGGATTACCGTCAGACAGAGCAGCTGGCACAGTTAAAGTATGAATTACGGAAAGTGAGAGATGCCTCCTGCTCAGTGGATCAGCATTTTGAGGTCCACCTCCCTCCTGATGACCCTGACAACTCTGAGCATCAGGACGTCCGAGAGCAGCTGGCTAAGGGGCCCGGGCTGGCTGAGCAATGTGTCAGCAGGCTCAGCCCAGGTAAGGTGGGCACAGGCCCTGATGACACACAGCCCCAGGCTTATGAAAGTCCCCAGACCACCACACCTCCACAGTGACAATTTTATTTCTTTACACTAAATTTCATAGCCATGACATGACCAGGACATCCTGGGCAGAAACTGAGATGAAAAACCCATGGGGTCGGAGGTCACAGTATGGCACATGTCTCCTCATTTCTTGCTGAAAGGTGCTCTTTGTGGCAGGAGGCAGCATCTTTCCAGTTTTAAAGGACAGGAAAGGCTGTGACAGGAGGCAGCTTGTTAGAGTCAAAAGAGCCCTGGAATAAGAATGAGGGTTCCAGGCTTTATCTTCAGCAGTGTCTTTAGCAACTGTGGGTAACTGATTAAATTATCCTTCCTGAGTTCCTGTCTCTAAATCTGTAAAAGCAGACAAATTGTCTCTTGCATTCGAAGGTGGGCACACTTACGAGTATATTTTATGACGAGATAAAAGCCCTTGCTGTGTGGTGTTGGAGAAGGCACTTGATGTGGGGGCATTTGGTGGTAGGAAGCTATCTCCACACACTCCACATGGAGAGTGTGTTCCTGGATAAGACAGCAGAAGCCTCTTGGAGGGCCCACGAAGTCCTAGATTTGTGGAGTATAGTGGGACAACATAGTTTGTCCTGTCATAAGAGAAAGATACAGGTTTTAATGTAAGCAGTAACAGGACACAGAGCCTGTGCCTGGGTATCAGAAGTGAGGCAGGACTGGAGAGACAACTGCTGAAGCTTGGAGAGAGGCTGGGCAAGACTGCAGTAATATGGGGAGCAAGATGTCTTTTCACTATTTGGCCACATCTTGATGGTGACCCTCCAGATCAGAAACATGTTGCTTCATGGATCGGGAAAACCTGTCAGGTTAAAAATAAAACATGACAGTGCTCAACACAATGCAGACCCATAGATGCATGTTCATGTCTCGGTACACATAGGGCTGACTGTGATTTCAGTGGGTAAGGTGGGAAATATCTGAATAGATGCTTCTGTAATTTTAGAAAATGATAAACACTATCAAGATCAAACAGAGGAGGAGGGCGAGAAAGCAGAGAAATCAGCTTCCCCCAGGTAACACTGAATAATCAGGAGCGGGTAATGGGTGGTGAAATCTGGAAAAGGTCTCAGAAAGAACGTTAAGTTAGGTGAAAGGTCAGGTGAACAGACTAAACTCAGGGATTTCCGATCTCACCTGTTGTCTGCCTCTTTGGCATTTCCATGTTTGCAAGTATTTGTTAGCAGGAAAGTGAATGAAAACAACTCATATCATGCTCACAGTTTTGAGAACATGTGAGGTTGAGGATACAGGAACTCTTTCTGTGAAGATGCAAGAACCTGCATTCATTTGGCCTCTGATGCTAATTTCAACAAAATGTGTGTAAAAGTGCTGAATGCACTGTGTCCTGGCAGTCTCCCACAGGGATCCCTCCAGCTCTTCCTCCCCAGCTCATTGTCTGCCCAGTGCACTGAGCACCTGCCACTCTGTCTCCTGCTCCACACAGGAAAGGATGGTTGTGTCTCTCTGAGAGGACCGTACTTGGCTTCTTCTGGCCTCTCCTGTGGTCCTCCCTATAGAACCATCTGGGTGCAGTGGTATGAGTCCTGTCCAGTGTTTATCTTCTGTCTTCTTCACCGCAGGCTGAGCCAGGAGCTACTGGAGGCAAAAGAGCAGAAAGCCTCAGAAGACTCCCTGGATGACCTTTACTGGGCTCTTTCAGCTCAGGGTGACCTGTCTGATTACCACCAGCCTTATAGCAGTGCCTCGTCCTCACTGGAGAATCAGCTCACATGCCCTGCACTGGATGTAGCCTGTGAGTACTGCAGCCTGAAGGTCACAAAACTCCATGGTCCTCCCAGGCAGCCTCTGTATGTTATGTTTCTGCAACTTGTGTCACTGAGTCAGATCATCAATGCAGGCAGGCCCCGTAAACTGAGCCTGCCTCAGTTTCGAATCTGACTCTTGGCTCCATTTTTAATCACAGACATCCAGTGGGAGGAACTTCCTCTTTTCCTGTCCCAAGTGACTCCTCGGTCACCTGGTTTCTTCTCACAAAAACAGGCTGTGGGCATGAAAACAGGAAAGAGGTCAGGACTCATAGCAAGTTTTTGGCCACAGTAGCCCATCTGGATATATTTGCATAAAAACCTTCTTCTGTAAGATAGGGCATCTGTCTTTTCTCAAATGATGTTGCTAACTGCATGCCTTGAACAGTGCCCTTATCTCTTCTCTGGCCATCCACACATCCAGGGAGTTTTGCACCATTATTTCAGAGCCCATTGTAGAATTCCTGTGTCTGATAAGGATTCTCTACTCTAGAGATCTCCAGCTCGGGGGCCATGGACCGTTGTGGATCCATGACCTGTTAGGAACTGGGCCACACAGCAGGAGGTCAGCGGTAAGAGAGCATGACCGCCTGAATTTCGCCTCCTGCCAGATCAGCAGTGGCATTCAATTCTCACAGGACTCGAACCCTATTGTGAATTGCACATGTGAGCGATCTAGGTTCTGCACCCCTCATGAGAATTTAATGCGTGATGATCTGTCACTGTCTCCCAGTGACTGTCACCCCCACGTGGGACTATCTAGTTTCAGGAAAACAAGCTTAGGGCTTGCACTGATTTGGTGAGTTGTATAATTATTTCATTAGATATTATAATGTAATAATCATAGAAAAACAGTGCACAAATAATGTAATGTGCATGAATCATCCGGAAAGCATCCCCCTTACCCTGGACCCAGAAAAATTGTCTTCCATGAAACCGGATGCTGGTGCCTAAAAGGTTGGGGACTGCGGCTCTACCTGCTGGGAGGTGACCTCCCTCCACTGACGCAGTCCAGCGTGCCTTCCTTTACTCAGGCCCAGGCTTGCATGCTCTGCAGAGCTCCAGTGGCTTTTTCCATGTGTGGGCTTGTTGTTTGAATTGTGATTTGGTCTCAGTGCTATATTCTCATGAAAACCATCGAGAATGAGTGTCCCTCACGGGGTACTGGCCTAACTGATGAGCAAAGCGAAGTGGTTTCTATCCTCATGATGTCCAGAAAACCCTTCCGCTGAGCAAGTGCCCTTTGGTGTAGCAGCTTCACAGAATATGTAGAGAAAAATTCCGATTTTCATTTCTTCTTGCTCATTGTATTTTTTTTCACTTCCATTCTTGGAGTTTCATGTGCGTTGTTTGGAGTTTCAAGCATCAACCTATTTTCTAGTAAGAGCAGGTAACTCTGTGATGTACCCCAGTATATCCTATTATGTTGTAATAAAATTAGCAACAGTGCGAGGCTCAGTGGCTCATGCCTGTAATTCCAGCACTTTGGGAGGCTGAGGCAGGTAGATTGCTTGAGTTGAGGAGTTTGAGGCCAGCGTGGGCAACACTACAAAAACATGTCCCTATGAAAAATTTGCAAGGCTTGGTGGCACGCACCTTTTGTCACAGCTACATGGAAGGCTGTGGTGTAAGAATCACCAGAGCCTGGGAAATTGAGGCTGCAGTGCGTCATCATTGCACCACTGCACTCCAGCCTGAGCAACAAAGTGAGACCTGTGTCACACACACTCACCCTTACACACACATAAACACACACAAATACACCCACCCACACACACATACTAACACTCACACACACACATGCACACAGACACACACACACACACAAACACAGACAGAAACAAACTAGCAATGAAAATGTTGGCCTCTATTCTGTTTCAGTCAGTGAGTGCCTTTCCCAGAAAAGCACCTGGACCATCCCCTTTCTTGTTTTGCATTTCTCCCTGAGTTTGAAAAAGCAAATACTTTTCAGTGATCACAGTGATTCATAAAATAAATAAAATACTCTATGACCTTGCATATGCTGTATGCCCAGCCCCTTGGCAAACAAGCTCTGAACTGCTATAAACATTCAGAGCTGAAGGAATGCTCCCAAGGGGGCAGTGGCATCTCTATGTTAGACCTGAGGATGCTGAGGCTCAGAAAGTTTTCTTCACTTGCCCAGAATGGCACGACTAGTCATGGTGAGAACATGTTTTTTTGTCTGCCTGACTTCATGGCTCAGTCTCTATCATTTCTCTGTGGGAGTCCTGTCAGGGACTGAGCCAAGATGGGTGCTCACCCTTTTTCCTTTGTAGAAATTATTTTCCAATAAAGTCAGGCTGAAACAGAGTAAGTTGCTGGTCTAGGATAAAGAAGTCCTGTAGTCCCTGGCACAGATTTCTCAAGAAGGATTACCTCTGTGCACTCTGTCTGTCAGCAGAATCAGTGGCTCCTCAAGTCCCTCCTGGGGGACCTACAGCTCCAGCAGGCTCTCCCTTGGAAAAGCACTCAGGGAATAAATGATCCTAGTCTCTCCCCACCTCCCCATCCCCAGGGTTCCAACTCTCAACTTGGCCATGTCTAGGTCCCTGTAAAGCTGTGGAGCTGAATCTCATAAACACCCCAGCCCGGATGGGTCTCCTACAAGAAGGAAGGGAAATGCTCTGAAATGTGTCTTAGAAGTGAGATGCTTATGACGTGGCCAGCCCTGCCATCTGGAACATGGGCCAGGAGAGGGCACATTCATCCATGCAGATGGGCCAAGATGAATGAACGGGACCTTCAGGTTACCCAAGGATGCTTCCTGTGTGTGGCTTCTAGACAATAATGTGTGAATAGTGCACAGTGCACAGCTCTGACCCCAGCAGCAGTGTCAGCGTGGATCCGCTCTGCACATGTTTTCCCTGCAGAGAAAGACTTGGTAGATTTAGGGAGAATACAACCTAAATTATCTCTGGATCTTTCCTTGATGGCTTCTTCCAACCTGCCCCTTTAACAGTATGGCAGTACTTCAGAAGTTTGAGAAAACGTCTTCTTTTTTCTTCTGAAAATGCAAAGAATATTCAAAGTACAAGTTTAATAAGACTCAGTAGTCTAGAAAAGATGGATAAAGTGAGATGAGAAAATTAAGTAGTGATAATTAAAGACATTCCCAGAGCTTGATTCTAATCTAAACAGCAAGTGCAGAGAATCAGAAAGGGAGTGCTGTGTTTGCCCAATCTCCATCAGCCAGATTTGTTGTTTCAGGATGTTTCTCTCATTTGCCCAATATGAGCTATCTTAAAATGTGAGAGTGTCCTAAGTGGCTGATGGTTAATGATGAATAAAGTGTGCTCTCAGGAAGATGAAAGAGAACAGACACAAGGAATGCTTTGAGCCACTAGGGAGGCAAAACCCAGTCTAGAGAGAGACTTTTGGACAGACCACAGAGCTGGATGGCACCTGGTGCAGGGTGGGACCAAGAGGGGCCAGCATGACTTCAGGGAGAGTCTGTTTGAGCACGTGGTCGAAGGTGATGCTGGGTAGGATCGTGGGGCAGAAGTGAGAAAGAAGGCGCACAGAGGCAGGATGAGGGGGACAGTCATGCAGGGGGCAGTGGAGAGGAAGTTTTCAGGTGCAGAGTGGGAACATGGTGAGAATAGGGATTTGGGGAGATAAAACTGCTGAGACAATTGCTAGAGTGGACACGCCAGGGTCAGAGAAAGCAGAGAGGGAGGCTGTATGAAACCAGGCATCACTGATGAGACTCTGATACACTGTGCTCTCAGGAAGACAAAAGAGAATAGACACAAGGAGCACAGTTTTAAGAAAACTTAGGAAGTCTTGTAGTGAATGAGAATGAGGAGAGGGGAAGAGAGAAAGGAGCCCTAGCAACATGGATCTGGCCCTGTACCCTGTACCTGTCCTGAGCCCGACCTAAACAGGCATGAGGTCATCGGAAGTCTTTCCTTAGTCCACTCTGAGAATGTGCATTCCTCTCCCTGTGGAAATAGAAATAGTTTGTTTAGGATGTATGCCTGAACCCCACTGGAGAGTGGGTAATGTGAGGACTGTGCCCTGTGTTCCCTTCCTACAGAACCACACATGCAGATGTAAAGCTCTTGTGGTCCCTGAATTTCTGCAAAGGGACTGGTCCCTCCATTACATTTCCTACATCTGCTGACACCCATTATTATATGGCACTAGGATGGAGATGTGTGAGCCGGGGGTTAAATCATTACAGGCAATGAGAAATTTAAAATGTCTCAGAACCCTGAAAAGTTAGCCTCACTTAGTGTTTGGTCTTTCTCATGGTTCTCTCTCAAAGCCTCCTGGCACTAGCGCTTGCCCTGTTCTTACACACCTGTGTTGTGGAGAACAGTTCTTCCTCTCCTATGCTCTGGGGGCTCTCTAGAACTTTCCCTGTAGGCAAAGGAAAGAGATTGATAATGACAGACTAATCGTCATGACCTTTATAGCCAATCCAAAGTTCTCTTGTCTGAAGGAGGGGTTTTCACTTCAGGCACACTCCAGCCTGGCACCTGCCATGTAAGGGTCTCCAAGCACAGACAGAAAAGATGACATTGCCTCCATTTACATGATGTGTGTCTGTGTGGCCTGGGTCACTGGGTGGCTCTACTGAGAGGTGGGAACAGCAGGGATGGGTGTTCCCTTAACAAAGGGAAAACTGAGATTGTTCCTACTGAAGCCCCTTCTCCTTTCAGCTTCCACCCAGGCCACCTGTCACCAAGGGACTTGGAGTGGAGACTTGAGCCCCCACCTGTCAGAGGTGCAGGCTTCACAGACACAGCTGGATTTAAGCACCATGGTGCCGTGTTTTCTACGAATAGAGCTGGATGAAGTGTTCCATGGTGGGAATGGCCCAGCCAGTCAGGGCCTTTCCTCCACCACCTGCAACTTCACAGTCAATGTTGATTCTGGTAACCAATGTTCCTTTCAAAATAGGGAAGGAAAGGGGATAGGAAAGTCCATTTCAGGTGTTGGTGGTCACGGTGCTGTGGTTGGAGGAGAGAATGGAGCCTCTCTGTGCTCCCTCAGGGTCAAGTTAAATGCACAGTACTCCAACCCAGTAAGGTGAGCAAGAGCCTGGGCTTAGGACAAAATCTGCTCTCAGGTCCCGGGTTTGCCTCCTTCTGGTTGTTCACTCTGGCCAAGGATTTTGTCTTTTTTCTATGCAAATCTCTGTTTCCTTATCTGAGCTATGTAAAATATAATATCTACTGATAATCATCGCTGAGAGTATTAATTATCATAATTTCCAAAGGGCCTGATTGAATAACAATTACTCAATAGACCTATAAATACGTGTTATCTCATCTATTTGTCTTTCTGCCAAGTTTACATTTAGAAAGTGACTTCACAGACTCTGTCTTCTCTGAGGTAGAGCAGTTGTGAAGCTCTCTGTTCTCTAGAGTCCCCTCTTCCTTTCCTTTCTCACACATACTCCTCTGTCAGTTTTCTTCCTCTCCTTCCCCATCCCCCATGAAGCCAATTCTCCACTGTCAGGCACTTTCAGTGACAACCTATGAGGCACATTCAGGAACAGTGTAAATCCTGGACTAACATGTCAGTGTCATGCCACGTCCAGCTCCTCTTTCTCCTTGTTCTGCTCTTTTTGAAAACAAAGGGCAATTTTCACATATAAAGTGTTCACATCTGTCTCTTTTATGAAAATCTATTTAATTGGTCATCTCCACTCATGTCCTCAGCCATGTTCTCAGTTTCCTTCTCACAGGGATCCACTTCCACTCAGATTTCCTTAATGTTCTGGATCCTGTTCATTCTCACTTTTTGTCCCAGTCAATTTCTCATCCTGGGGCCCTCGGCTGAGGAATATGGGGACCCCTGTTTTCAGGAGGAGGAAGGGTCACATGAGATAATAAGCACCATTTGATTCCATGGAGAGGACACCTGGAAGGCACTCAGCGGGTTTCAGGGGTGTGCAGTCCCTTACATGTGCCGTGGAACTAATTTAACTGATTTCTTCCCACCAGATTCTCCTTTGCTTCATTATGGATTTCTACACCCACAGTCAAGACGGAACTCACTGGCTCAGACCCAGGCTGTCTTCCCCACATTTTCTGGAGTCCAGAGCCAGAACCAGGCTCCCAGTAAGAGCAAAGAGTGAATGCCCTGCCTTATTCATAGTTTCCTTGGTCATTTCTCTCTGATGCCTAACGGGTCATTTGTTTCTTTGCACACCTTGTCTTTCTCATTTTTCTCATGTTTCTATTATTTTTTCAATTTCAGTGGAAGAGAATATTAATTATATTGTTACATTAAATATCTCTCAAATCTCTATATATTATTTTTTCATTAGATTAATATCTACAGATACATGCATTTACACCATTTGCTAGGTATATTATGTACATTTTGTGTGTATGCTACGTAGTGTGTATATTTATGTGCAATAGATCATATAATGATGCAGGTTTCATAAATTCTTCAGGTTTAGTCTTCCCCGGTTCTTTTCTCATCAGCTGCTGTAACCTCTGCCTGGTCTCACCTCTGTGTCCCATGGGCTGCCACCCTGCCAGGCCCTTCCACCCACCTGTCCTGTTTGGACTCAGCTCTGATTTAACTTTCACTCTTATAATCTCTTCCCTCCCCAAAGCACAGACTACATACAGTGTGATTTTCTTGCTTTGGCCATATCTACCCTGAAGCTACTTGTGTTTCTTAATCTTTAGTTTCTTGAATATTTTTGTGAATCGGGAGTGCCCTTGCCTCCTGGCACACTTGTCATTATTGAGTAATGTAAGAAAAATCAACAAAAAAGAAAGTATTAAAGTCACTCTGTTGGCTTCCTTTCCCCCTTTGGACTTTCCTGTCCAAGGCCCCATTTGTGATTTGATGTCCTTTGGGTGGAAGAGAAAGTCACAGTAAGATCATAAATGCTACTGGATGCCATGGCTGTTGTTTCATTTTCAGAGCTTGTTTTAGCCCCCTCCATTGTGATGAAGATCCCTCCACAGATGGAAGATGATCCACTCGAAGGCTCATCAAACACCCAATGGCATCAAGTGCCTGGCAACATTGATGCCTCCAGTGTTCCAAAACCCAAGAAGATCAAAAGAAAACTCCCTTTCAGCAAATGGCTCCGTTGGCCTTTATGCTCAGGGTGCAGAGGTAATCACTTCTATGGCTCTGAGCTGCACTCACTTCTTATTTCTCTCTGTCTATGGTGACAGCTCATTCTCCCAGTGCTTTTTCTCTTTTATTTGTTCTCCCCAGGGCCTGCTGTAACCTCTGTCTGGTCTAACCCCAGTGTCCCATGGGCTCCCATCCTGCCAGGCTCTTTCTGTCCTCATCTCCTCATTGCTCTCTGAACCCTGCTCTATTCTTTCTTCTGCTGTCTTGAGGGTCCCTCTGGTGGCCACAGGAGAGCCAGGCCACCTTGTCCACATCCAAGTACACAGTTAAGCTGTGGAACACAGGGTTCCTTGCCTGGAATTGCACACTCTCTTCAGAAATTACCTTTTCTCCCTGTATCCCCAACTTTATTGTTTCTTTCTGCAGGGAGCGTGGCTTTAATACATCATTTACACATGGTTTTTCTCTTGAGTTGGCTTTGGAGGAACCCAGCTAAGTCCACCCTTACTCGTCTCTTGTTCCTCTGAATGAGAAGTGTTAAAGCTGAGCACAGAGAGCCCCACTTAGAAAACTAAACTTGAATCTGGGTCAAAAATGGGAGTTCCCTGCCGGACTGGAGCCAGGTTTGCCTTCAGCCCCAGATGTGCAGGCTTGTGACAATGTTGATGGAATTGCCAGGGACTCAGCATTCTCACCACATGGACTCACTTATGCTGACATTAACTGAATGACATTTATGACATGCAAAATACATGCAGAAAACAGGACTTCAAATCTGCATACGTCATGAGATATATCATTCTAACCTCTCCCCATTTTATTCTCATTTCCATTTCTACATGTCCAGTTAAGGGTCTATAATGCAACTCAGATGAATCTTGAGGCCAGGGTATATGAGAGAGCATTTTCTGAATTAACTTTGAGTAAAGTGACTCTAGGACCTGCTTTATGCTACACAAGATGACAGACAAGCATCTGTCTACAGGACAGTCTTTGCTTTGGTTCAGCTTAACTGATAACAGAGAGATTTCACTGAAGTTGTCAGAGAGAAGACTGAAATTCGTGAAACCACAGGGAACAAAGCCGATCATGATATAAACAGGGAAAGGAAAGAAAATGATGGGAAATTGGGTTGTTCCATTTTGTATCTTTAAATAGTGCTGCCATGTAGTAAACAACTGGTGAGATTTCAGTTAAGATGCATGCCTTGAACTCACACCTTGAGATTCTCACTGACATGATCTGGGGTGTGGTTTGGGTGTCTGTAGTTTTAAAATGCTCCCATGTGATTCTGATATGTGGCTGAAGATGAGGAAGACAACTGGTCTTCTACGACCTCAGGTTGCCAACATGGAAGTGTTCTATATGTGTGGCTACTCCGAAGAAAAGGCTGAGCATTCATCAGCATTTGATAGGTCTCTATTCCCCTCTCAATAGTACTGTTCATATAGCAGAGAGGAAAGCAACAAAATTAAGAGATTAGACCTTTAGCCTCTGCTCCCAATGGTGAGTGTGGCATCTATACATGAGGGCATCAAGAGCAGGGAGAACTCTGGTGAGAGGAATGTTCTGCATCCTGGGGCACAGGCTCTTACTCTAGAGAGGAAGAATGACAACCCATTAGACATTGTGGAGGTCAGTGTAGCGTGTGGAGTAGGGATCCTGGGCTGGACTCCTGGGCTCCATCTAAGTTGCTGAGCTTTTCGGTGCCTCAGTTTCCTCATCTGTTCTTTGGGTACTATAATAATACCTACCTCTGTAAATTGCTGCAATGAATTACAGGACCTGTTTCTTCTCAATGTCCTAGAACAATACTTGGCACAGAGTAAACACTATTCGTTCTTTATTCTGCTATTTCTAACTTAATTCAAACTTCATTAGTATTTGGTCATATTTCTTTTATGACTTCAGGGTCTAATGCCTCATATTTTATGCAATTATATTCAGATATGATTTTTCAAATCTTGGACAAATTTGTGCTTGATATTCCCAGTTCCAGGGAATGTGTGAGTCCCACAGTCCTAAGGGCATTTCCTACTGTCCAGAATATCAGTACTTCATGCCCCCATAGAGTGTTTTACAGAAGAGGCTGAAAGGTTGGGAACATGGCCCAAAACTAAGAGTCAGACCTTGGGTGCTGTGAATTCTGACTCTGTCTCATTCCAGGTGTTACTTGATGTGCCACTGAGTTTCTTTTTCCCCATCTCTAAGTTGGAGAGTATCAGATGCCAGCGAGTTGGGAGGTTGATCATTAAAAATGAGGAAATCCCTCACTGGAGCCTGATAGTGCAGATGCTTTTGTCCTTGGGAGGGACACTGCCACCTGCCATGTAGGCAGTGACCACAGCAGCCTGTCCCTTCCACTGAGGCAGGCCTTACTGTCTTTTCTTAGAATGTGATAACTATAGAGCAAGATTAAAAACTCTGCAACTAGATATCATCAATTACACGGAGGCAATACTTGAAGAGGAGCTCATGAGAACAGAGGAGCTCAGGTGAGCAGATGCTGTGGAGACAGGCGGGGGGCAAAGGTGTGAATCTCTGAAGTGCAGCACTTCAGCTGGGAGAACCAGCAGCTAAGCTAGGCCAGGACCAGGACAGACATTTACGTGGCAGGCACATTTCACAGCAGCACTCATAAAACAGAACAGTCATCTTAGCATGTTACTGGTTACAGTTGTTTCCTTGAGCTTTGTTTACACTTTTTATAACAACAAGATGTTGAGTCAAAATTTGCATATCCAAAATTAATTAAAAGAAAGTGAACCACCCAGCAGTGTTTAGTACACTCTATCCCATGTACTCTTAGAGTCACTTCCTGGCTGACCGCAGCAACTCATTCATTCAATCAATCAGTATTGCCTTCTTGACCTGCCATTCTTTTCTTATTTGATTTTTACAATTCACCCCATCTGCACCGGGCCACACTTCTGTGCATGGCTCTGTTTCCAGTCACTGCCTGATGTACTATGGGAGTTTTCATATAGAAATGTCCATGGCTAAAGTGAGAAGCTGAAAGGACATCCTTTTGAAACCGATTTGGGAAGACTGACTTTTGTTTACAGAAGACAAAAATGAATGGAACATCATACAGGATCTCACAGGAGCTCTCTCTGATACAGAGGAAGCCTCCATGGTTCAAGCAATTCTCCTGTCTTGGCCTCCCGAGTAGCTGGGACTACAGGTGTGCACCACCATGCCTGGCTAATTTTTGTATTTTTGGTAAAGACAGGGTTTCACCATGTTGGCCAGGCTGGGTTTAAACACCTGATCTCAGGTTCTGCCCACCTCAGAATCTCAAAGTGCTCAGATCACAGGCATGAGCCACCATGCCCTGCTTTAAAAAATAAATGAATATTTATTTATTATTATATTGTATATACATAATATGGCAGCCATGCTCTGTTGCAGAGAGAGGAGGATTGCCTGTTCCCTCTTAAACGGAACCTCCCCATTTGCTTTCTGGGACCACAACCTTATGGCTCCTGTGAAAACCAGTTGGAATTTCCTATGGTTCAATCCCTTGTGGTTTAATCTTTGTCATCTCAAAATATATAGATATAGATGTAGATATGCTATAGACACACACACACGCACACACACATTCCTCTGGACCACAGGCATTTCCCCAAACAGGTTGTGACGTTCTGCTTGGGGGCTCCTTGAGGACATTCTCACCTAAACCTCCGTTGTAGTATTAGAACTGATCACCCATCCCTTTCCGTTATTAAACATTCTCTGCTATGTCCCCAAAGGGAATATAAAGCCCTGACTCAATCTCAGGCAGAGCAGCTGGCAAAGTTGCAAGAAGAAATAGATGCCACCAAGTTACGGAATGAGCAATTGAAGGCCCACGTCACTTCTGATGACCCCGGTAAGTCTCAGCGTCATAACCTCGAAGAGCAGCTGGCTAAGGGGCTCAGGCTGACAGAGCATTATGTCAGGCTCAGCCCAGGTAAGGTGGGCACAGGCCCTGATGACACACAGCCCCAGGCTTATGAAAGTCCCCAGACCAACACACCTCCACAGTGACAATTTTATTTCTTTACACTAAAAATTCATAGCCATGACATGACCAGGACATCCTGGGCAGAAAGAGATGGGAAACCCATGGGGTTGGAGGTCACAGGATGGCAAATGTCTCCTCATTTCTTGCTGGAACATGGTATTTCAGGCAAGAGGCAGCATCTGTCCAGTTTTAAAGGACAGAAAGGAGGCTGTGACAGGAGGCAGCTTGTTAAAGTCAAAAGAGCCCTGGACTAAGAATGAGGGTTCCAGGCTCTATCTTCAGCAGTGTCTTTGGCAACTGTGGGTAACTGATTAAATTATCCTTCCTGAGTTCCTGTCTCTAAATCTGTAAAGGCAGACAAATTGTCTCTTGCATTCAAATGTGGGAACACTTATGACGATATTTCATGATGAGATAAAGCCCCTTGCTGTGTGCTTTGGAGAAGGCACTTGATGTGGGGGCATTTGGTGGTAGGAAGCCATCTCCATGCACTCCACATGGAGAGTGTGTTCCTGGATAAGAGAGCAGAAGCCTCTTGGAGGGCCCACGAAGTCCCCGATGCATGGAGTATAGTGGGACAAGTTAGTTTTTCCTGTCGTAAGATAAAGATACAGGTGGCCAGGTGCGGTGGCTCAAGCCTGTAATCCCAGCAATTTGGAAGGCCAAGGCTGGTGGATCACGAGGTCAAGTGATCAAGACCATCCTGGTCAACATGGTGAAACCCCGTCTCTACTCAAAATACAAAAAATTAGCTGGGCATGGTGGCGCGGGCCTATAATTTCAGCTACTCAGGAGGCTGATGCAGGAACCCAGGAGGTGGAGGTTGCGGTGAGCCGAGATCGCCACATTGCACTCCAGCCTGGGCAACAAGAGCCAGAGCAAAACTCCATCTCGGGGGAAAAAAAAGAAAAAAGAAAGACAGAGGTTTCAATGTAAGCTGTAACAGGATACAGAGCCTGTGCCTGGGTATCAGAAGTGAGGCAGGATTGGGGAGACAGCTGCTGAAGCTTGGAGAGAGGCTGGGCAAGCCTGTGGTAATATAAAGAGCAAGATGTTTTTTGACTATTTGGCGGCATCTTAATGGCGACCCTCCAGATCAGAAACATGTTGCCTCATGGATCGGGAAAACCTGTCAGGTTAAAAATAAAACATGACAGTGTTCAGTACAATGCAGACCCATAGATGCATGTTCTTGTCTCGGTACACATAGGGCTGACTGTGATTTCAGTGGGTAAAGTGGGAAATATCTGAATAGATGCTTCTGTAATTCCAGAAAAAGATAAACATTATCAAGATGATACAGACAAGGAGGGCAAGAAAGCAGAGAAATCAGCTGCCCCCAGGTAATACTGAATAATCAGGAGCGGGTAATGGGTGGTGAAATCTGGAAAAGGTCTCAGAAAGAACGTTAAGTTAGGTGAAAGGTCAGGTGGACAGACTAAACTCAGGGATTTCCGATCTCACCTGTTGTCTGCCTCTTTGGCATTTCCATGTTTGCAAGTATTTGCTAGCAGGAAAGTGAATGAAAACAACTCATATCATGCTCACAGTTTTGAGAACATGTGAGGTTGAGGATACAGGAACTCTTTCTGTGAAGATACAAGAACCTGCATTCATTTGGCCTCTGATGCTAATTTCAACAAAATGTGTGTAAAAGTGCTGAATGCACTGTGTCCTGGCAGTCTCCCACAGGGATCCCTCCAGCTCTTCCTCCCCAGCTCATTGTCTGCCCAGTGCACTGAGCACCTGCCACTCTGTCTCCTGCTCCACACAGAGAAGGATGGTTGTGTCTCTCTGAGAGGACCGTACTTGGCTTCTTCTGGCCTCTCCTGTGGTCCTCCCTATAGAACCATCTGGGTGCAGTCATATGGGTCCTGTCCAGTGTTTATCTTCTGTCTTCTTCACCCCAGGCTCAGCCAGGAGCTACTGGAGGCAAAAGAGCAGAAAGCCTCAGAAGACTCCCTGGATGACCTGTCTGATTACCACCAGCCTTATAGCAGTGCCTCGTCTTCACTGGAGAATCAGCTTATGTGCCCTGCTCTGGATGTAGCCTGTGAGTGCTGCAGCCTGAAGGTCCTAAAACTCCATGGTCCTGCCAGGCAGCCTCTGTATGTTATGTTTCTGCAACTTGTGTCACTGAGTCAGATCATCAATGCAGGCAGGCCCCGTAACCTGAGCCTGCCTCAGTTTCGAATCTGACTCTTGGCTCCATTTTTAATCACAGACATCCAGTGGGAGGAACTTCCTCTTTTCCTGTCCCAAGTGACTCCTCGGTCACCTGGTTTCTTCTCACAAAAACAGGCTGTGGGCATGAAAACAGGAAAGAGGTCAGGACTCACAGCAAGTTTTTGGCCACAGTAGCCCATCTGGATATATTTGCTTAAAAACCTTCTTCTGTAAGATAGGGCATCTGTCTTTTCTCAAATGATGTTGCTAACTGCTTGCCTTGGACAGTGCCCTTATCTCTTCTCTGGCTATCCACACATCCAGGCAGTTTTGCACCATTATTTCAGAGCCCATTGTAGAATTCCTGTGTCTGATAAGGACTCTCTACTCTAGGGATCCCCAGCTCAGGGGCCATGGACAGTTGTGGGTCCATGACCTGTTAGGAACTGGGCCACACAGCAGGAGGTCAGCGGTGGGAGAGCATGACCGCCTGAATTTCGCCTCCTGCCAGATCAGCAGTGGCATTCAATTCTCACAGGACTCGAACCCTATTGTGAATTGCACATGTGAGCGATCTAGGTTCTGCACCCCTCATGAGAATTTAATGCGTGATGATCTGTCACTGTCTCCCAGTGACTGTCACCCCCACGTGGGACTATCTAGTTTCAGGAAAACAAGCTTAGGGCTTGCACTGATTTGGTGAGTTGTATAATTATTTCATTAGATATTATAATGTAATAATCATAGAAAAACAGTGCACAAATAATGTAATGTGCATGAATCATCCGGAAAGCATCCCCCTTACCCTGGACCCAGAAAAATTGTCTTCCATGAAACCGGATGCTGGTGCCTAAAAGGTTGGGGACTGCGGCTCTACCTGCTGGGAGGTGACCTCCCTCCACTGACGCAGTCCAGCGTGCCTTCCTTTACTCAGGCCCAGGCTGGCATGCTCTGCAGAGCTCCAGTGGCTTTTTCCATGTGTGGGCTTGTTGTTTGAATTGTGATTTGGTCTCAGTGCTAAAGTCTCATGAAAACCATTGAGAATGAGTGTCCCTCACGGGGTACTGGCCTAACTAATGAGCAAAGCAGAGTGGTTTCTATCCTCATGATGTCCAGAAAACCCTTCCGCTGAGCAAGTGCCCTTTGGTGTAGCAGCTTCACAGGATATGTAGAGAAAAATTTCGATTTTCATTTTTTCATGCTCATTGTATTTGTTTTTCCTTTCATTCTGGGAGTTTCATGTGGATTGTTGGGAGTTTCAATCATCAACCTATTTTCTAGTAAGAGCAGGTAACTCTGTGATGTACCCCAGTATATCTGATTATGTTGTAATAAAATTAGCAAGAGTGCCAGGTGCGGTGGCTCATGCCTGTAATTCCAGCACTTTGGGAGGCTGAGGTGGGTAGATTGCTTGAGCTGAGGAGTTTTAGACCAGGGTGGGCAACACTACAAAAACATGTCTTGATGAAAAATTAGCAAGGCATGATGACACACACCTGTGCTTCCAACTTTATGGGAGGCTGTGGTGGAAGAATCACCTGAGCCTGGGAAATTGAGGCTGCAGTGCATCATTATTGCCCCACTGCACTCCAGCCTGAGCAACAA